CGCCGACGCCGATGCCGCCACCGCCGTCGCTACCGCCACCGCCGCCGACGACGACGACGACGACCAGGACGTCGACGACGACGATGCCGACGCTGACGACGACGACAACGCCGCCACCTCCGCCTCCGCCTGCGCCTCCGCCTCCGCCTGCGCCGACGCCGATACCGCCGCCGCCGTTGTGCTCATCCGTCGACGCCGACGGCGACGACGTTGACGCCTCCGCCTCCGCCGACGCCAACGCTGACGACGCCGACGCCGCCGCCGACGCCGACGCCGACGCCGATGCCGATGCAGTCGCCGCCGTCGCCGGCGACGGCGTCGACGATGACGACGATGACGGCGACGACGACGGCGCCGACGCCTACAACGACGACGACGCCGCCGCCTCCGCCGAAGCCGGCGCCGACGCCGACGCCGACGCCGACGTCGACGCCGACGCGGACGTCGACGCCGACGCCGACGCCGATGCCGTCGACGACGCCGACGCCGACGCCGACGCCGACATGGCCGCCGACGGCGATGACGACGCCGCCGACGACGACGACGAAGGTGACGACGCCGACGACGACGACGACGATGACGCCGCCGACGACCAGGATGTGTACCACGACGGCGCTAACGCCGACATCGACGCCGCCGCCGCCTGCGCCAGCGCCGACGACGACGACGACAACGCCGACGACGACGAAGACGACAACGACAACGACGACGACGACGACGACCACGACCACGACGACGACGGCGACAACGACCACGACGACGACGCCGACGACGACGACGACGACGACGGCGACGACGACGACGACGACCCCGTCGACGACGACGAGGACGACCCCGTCGACGACGAGGACGACGCCGCCGCCGACAACTCCGCCTCCGCCTCCGCCTCCGCCGACGCAGGCGCCGACGCCGACGTCGCCACCGCCGCCGACGCCAACGCCGCCGCCGCCGACGACGACCACGACGACGACGACGACGACGACGACGACGACGACGACTGCGAAGAACCGCGCGAGGGGCTCGAGGAGCGCGACGGCCCTTCTGAGGAGGACCTGCGGATCGAGGCACTCCGCGCGCAGCAGGCGCGCGGCGCGGCTATAGATGGCACGCTATGAGGGAGGTCCCCTCCTCCTTCCTCCCTCTCCTTCCCCTTCTCCTTCCTCCCCTTTTTAGTTTAGTCCTTCTCCTGCTCCTTCCCCCTCCTCCTCCTACTCCCTCCTCCACTTCCTCCTCCTCCTCCTTCCTCCTCCTCTTCCTCCTCCTCCCTCTTCCTCCTCCTCCTCCTCCACCTCCTCCTCCTCTCGCATCTGCTTTCTCCTCCTCCTCCTCGTCCTCCTCCCCCCTCATCTTCCTTCTCCTTCCTCCTCCCCACTCTTCTCCCTCCCTCCTCCCTCCTCCCTCCGCAGCCATTTTGGCTCAAGGCCAGGTGGTTGGCTCGTCTTCGGCGCGCGGGACCCATGCTAGCGCGGGACGCTGCCGTCGCCTCGCCCGCCGCGTGCGCAGGGACTGGAGACGGAAGGGGCCGACGACGCCTTCGCGGCGCTGCTCGTGCTGGGGCGTCTGCCGACGCTCTTCTCCAGCGACTCACGCGGGAGTTTGCCCTCACATTGTGAATGTCTAATCCTTCGAGAGTTCTTCGATTTTTTTTGGGGGCCAAGATGCTTTCATTTCTAATTGTTCTATCCTGGGCCTCTTCCTGGCCACTAGGGGGCCAGGAACAAGTATAAACGAGCACAATTAGAAATTAGCACGATTAGAAATGAACGACGTGTAGGCCCGTGCGGAGCGCGCGGCGCTCCTGCATGCGCTCGGGGACGAGGGGGTGGTCCAGCGGCTGGTCGCCGCGGCCCCCTGCGCCCGCCTCGCTGCCGCGGGGGCTGCGCCCCCGCGCCCGCGGACCAGCTGCGCAGGGACGTGGCCCTCCACGCCGTGGGCTTTTGGGGCGGACGTGGCGCGCGCCAGCTCGCGCCAGCTGCGCGCGGCGCTGCGCGGAGCGCGTCCCGGCGCTGGGCGGGCCGCCCAGGGGAGTCGCCGTGAGCAGGCCCTGGTGGCGCAGCCTTGTCAAGCAGAGATCGACGTCAGCTGCGGCGAGCCTTCGCGTAGGTTTCCAGGTTTTTCGAGCGGCTGGTCGTCGGCCCGACCGTGTGGAGCGTGGAGGTCCGCTGTTTCCTGCCAGGTGCGGGCTGGCAATTCCTGGCCCTCTGGTCGTGCGACGTCCACGCGTTGTGGACCGTGCTGCGATGGCAGCCCGTGCAGGCCGTTCCTGTTCTTGCGGGTTTCTGTGCGTGTGAGGAACTTGATGCGGATGCTCCTGTACGGGCGGATCTTCCTGTACGTATGGATCGTGATGCAGACCACCCTGTATGCGCTGATCCCCCTGGGCGTGGGAGTGCCGATTTTTCCGGGCCTGCGGAACTGCCCGTACGTTCGGATTTTTCTGTGGCGGGTCTTCCTGTACGTGCGGAGCCTTCTGCACGTGCGGATCTGCCCGTTCGTGTTGTACGAGCCCGTTTCTTTTTTGCTTGGGGCATGATGGGCGTCATGGCCCCCGCTGCCCCCCCCCCCGCCCCCCCCTATGACGTAACGCTCCCCCCCCCCCCCCCCCCCCAGTGCGCTCCGGGAACTCTGCCCGTCGTGCGTTTTGGGATCCGCGTAGGTGTCCGCGTAGGAATTCACATAGGAGTCTGGGCCGCAGTCGTCGTTGTCGTCGTCGTCGTCGTCGTCGTCGTCGCTCGTGGCGTGTCGCTCGTCGCTCGTAGTCGTCGTGCGCGCGGACGCGGCTGAAGCCTGTTTTTTGTTCCGGGCCGATGACGGCAATCATCTAGGGGGGGGTGGATGGGGTTGGATGTCACGTTTCGCGCCGGCGGCGTCTGGGAATGCCTAGGAATGACGGAGGTCGGAATGCGATTTGCACCACAACGCCTGTGTACACCACAGTGCCTGCGTGCACCACAGCGCCTGTGTACACCACACCGCCTATGTACACCACAGCAGCCGCTTGCAACACAGCGTCAGTTTGTGCCATCGTGCCTGCGGGCACAACAGCTCTTGTGGTGTGCCAACGGTTTCCCACGCTGCCGTGCGATATGGCACCAATTTTGAGCCGATTATGACTGTTCGGCGAGGAGTGGGGGGCTTTGGCGGCCTTGACAGCTGCTCGAGTTGCAGTTTCCTGTTTCTTTTCGTGGAGTCGCTCTCGCTCGCAGCTGTGGTATCCTTCCACGTCGTGTTCGCGCTCGTGGTCGGCTTCGCGGCAGGTGCACTCAGGCCTGTGCTGGTCTCGTCACCCAGCTCGGTGTTGCGTGGCAGCTTTCGTCGATGTAAACAAATCCTCCTTCATCCCTCCTCCCTCCCTCCTCCCTCCTTCCTCCCATGACGATTTCTCTTTCTCTCCATCCCTCATCTCTTCCCTCCCTTTCCGTCGCGCGACTAGCCTACGAGAGATCAGCACCAGTCGTGGACGACTATTGGCAGCCGTGTTCGCCGTTACAGACTGGTGCCGCAGTCTCCGTGGCGGTGGTTATGCACCAACGCCGGCGTTTCAGGGATGCGCAGGGTGGAAGGGTGGATCCAGAGAGGGCGGCCGCCTGCTTCCCTCGCTCTCTCTCGCCCGCGTCCTGCCTGCATGCGCCGCCCGCCCTCTCTGGCCTGGTCACCTTCTTCAGAGGTGCCCACGCCTGCAGCTGCTGGCACACCTTCACGCCTGTGCCCGCGGGGGGCAGCGGTCAGGGGGCCCGGTGAGCGTAGTCTGTCGCTAACCACGCACCCGTTGCGTGTGGCACCGGGCCCCCGAGTGTGCTCCTGCGCGCGCCGCGGCTCGCCAGGTGCTCATGCATTTGCTCGCCGCCGCCGCCTGCCCGCATACAGCAGCAGTTATGGAGTAGCAGGGTTGCTGAGGAGGGGGTTCGAGGGTCGAGATGAGTGCCATCGTCATGCCCACATTTTCATTCCCCCTTGCGCGACAGGGCATCGTTCTTTGGCAGGGCCAGGACTGTCCGCCGCGCCTGTCTGCTACCGCCGTTGCTATGTAGCGCTGGCCAAGGTTTCGAACAACTATTTAGGTGCCTGCGAGCACCGTACAGTGCGCCTGACACTATAGTTGCGGTGGAAGTGGGGTCATCAAATGGGGGCAGTGAGGAACTACTGTACTATACTTGCTTACTTGGTTCCCGTGCAGTCCTTTTTAGTCTGATTAAATATGCTGCTAGTTGCAGCGCCGTCTTTCTCTGACCGTCGCCAGGCGAATCAGATGCGCAATCCCGAAATCCTCTCTCCTCCTCCTGCCCCCCCTTTCTCCACCTTCTCCTCCTCCTCCTTTTCCTCCTCCTCCTCCTTTTCCTCCTCGTCTTCCTCCTCCTCCTCCTCCTCCTCCTCCTCCTCCTCCTCTTCTCCGAAGACGTTCAGAGGCATCTGCAGGACGTCTGTGTACCCCTGGAAACCTCCATGAACCTCGGGGGGACCTCCAGGGAACTCTGGAGCCCTTGGGGACCTCTGTAGAGCTTCCCCTCTCCTCGTGCTCCTTTTCTAAGGCTTCGGGCCCCGTTGTACGAGCCTTGGGTCCTCTGGGGGGCATATCGGGACCTCATTTGGGCCTCTTGGGAGCTTCCTGAGGGCCTGCTGGTGGTTTCGGGGTCATCTTGGGGCGGGGGGTTCGACGTGTCAGTTCGAGTTCCTTTTTTCGGGGCCCTCGTGGGCCCTCGTAGGCCTCTTGGGCCGTCTCGGGGGCCTCTTGGGCCGTCTCGGGGGCCTCTTGGGCCGTCATGAGGGCTTTTCGGGCCATCCTGAGGCCCTCTTGGGGGCCTCTTGGGCCGTCTTTTGGCGATCGTGGGGTCAACTTGCTCCGTCTTGAAGCGACGGGAGTTCGCAGAGGCTGGAACCCTCACACATTCCACCACCGGAGGAACATCGAATATTTGGGCTTGTTGGGGGGTGCTCTTGGGGCTCTTTTCGGAAGTCTCGGGGGCCTCTTGGGCCGTCCGCAGGCCATATTGGGTGTCTTG